CAGTAGTCCAGCCTGGAAGTAATAAATGCATGAACTAGTTTTTCAGCGTCACTCAGAGACAGGATATTTCTAATTTTAGAGATGTTGCGCAAATGGAAGAACGCAGTCTTACATATTTGTTTATTTAGGAAAAGTAATGTAAAAACAAGACTTGCATGGAGACTATTTCTTTGGTGGATTTCATGGTTTCATTAACAACAGTTCTGCTCTCATAACAGTGCAAGCTGAGTACAGCCAGGTCCCCTAGCATCTTATGTGTAGCTGAATTTACCAATCACATGCAGCGACCATGCCTACAAAAATGACAGACAAGATTACAATTACAAGGTGGATGTTAACAAGCAATATTAGATCCTTAGCAGGACTGAAACACAGACAAACTTAGCAGAAGGTCGTTCTGATTTGTAAAAGGAACATCACTCGTGTTTGTTTCATTCTTTGTAAACTACAACTGGCCCAATTTGAAAACCCATTGAATAGTGTGCTGGTGTAGTGCTTGGGAAAGTAACTAGCTTTTCTATGCTTCCCGTATTGCTAGGATGTCTGGATAGCTCATACCCGATTGAAGACTCCCTCTCCTGCATGCCAGGAGACAAAAGCAGATAAATTTACAATAGCTAATAAAAAACTAAATTACCATGAGAAGAGTTTCTAGATTGCGTTTAATCAAATGAAATCTCTTGCTTGTTCTCTACACAAGATTTTAACCTTCATGCAGCCGACGCCATTTCAAAAACATCTGGTCAAAAGAACTTGGACTTCAAGTGGACTACAAAGGGAAACCAGAAACCATTCTAATCACCTTGAAAGTCAGTATTTTGTATGATTACCTTTATTCTTAAATATATCCTGAACTCGCTTAGGCAGCTTTGTAGTAATTTCTTTAAGTAGTCTTCAGGAATAGTTCTCCAGACTTCTTGAAAGACATTCAAAGCTCTTCTTTGGATGTTTCTGCCTTTTGTTCTGTTCTCTTGTCAACATGATGACACACTACTTCAATAATGTTGAGGTCTGGGCTCTGGGGAGGCCAATCCATGACTGAGTGTTCCATTGTGTGTTTTTACCCTTTTTTTTACCCTTTTACGGCATTGGCACTATGTTTGTTGTGCTGAAAAATGAAGCTTTTTCCAACCAGATGCTTTCCAGATGGTATTGCATGGTCAATCTCAATCTGACAGTACTCTTCTGTTTTCATACTTCCATCAAGATCACTAACACTACTGGCTGAAATGTGTCCCCAAACTATGACTGTGCCTGGGACTTTTACAGATGGCTGTAGAAATGCACTATTTTACCTCTCTGCTGCCCCCCTCTGTACATATTGATAATGATTTGAAGCAAAAATTTCAAACTTGGACTCATAACTCCATCAGACCTGTTGTCACTAATTTTCAGTCCAGTTATTGTGTAATTTGGCATACCTCAGCTTTTACTCCCAGTTTTCCTTCCTTAGAAAGACCTTGACTTGAGCTAACCTTCCACTGAGATCGTTTCTGATGAGCCTTCTGAAGGGTCAGATGTCTCAGGTTCTGTGTGATTTGTTTTTTATTTTTAAGGAGACAACATTCAGATACTGTTCATCTGCTGTATAGTCTTTTAGGCATGACACTTCTTCTTTTGTCCTCCACTTGTCCAATTTCCTCAGATTTCTTAAGGACACACTGCACACCATGCAGACATAACCAGTTTTCAGCTAATAGCTCTTTGGGAATCACCTTGGTAGTCACCAAAAATACTATTTTCTGCCCTTCAAACTGTGTTATCTTTGGCATTTTTCACAGATTCAACAAAAGAAATGGAAGAAATTGTTTTTTTGTTTTGCAAAATACTAGCAGCAATCTGCCTAAAGATACTATTTAAGATTGTTTTTGCAAAGTTGTGTCTCAAGAGTTTTTCACAGTACTCTACTTTCATATGCAAATAACTCTTGATCCATATGTATAAACTAGATCCCAGTATGGGAAAGATGCATTGCAGCTGAATTTTTACACGTGATACTATGTTTATATTGTGAATTGATCCTATAACTAGAATTAAATTTTCTATTAATGACAGTGATGATCTTGGCTTAATCACTGTGTCATCAGGTGATATCATAAAATCATTAAATGATCAGTATACATGAAGCTGTTGTGCTGTCTGATTTTAAAAAAATAAAACAAAACTTGTCAGGTTATTTAAAAGTAAAAACAAAGACACTTTGCATCACAGCTTTAACTGCAATCTGAATCACATCACAGTAAAAGCCTGTGTTTGCTCCACATGCCAACTTGGCCAAGACTGGGAAATACATATGGTAAGAGTGTGTCTGTACAGCTGAGTATGAGAGGGGACGTTGTTATCAACTGGGCAGCCTTTCAACTTAGGACTTGTCACAGTTCCCTCATCCAGGCCCCCTTAATGTCTGCCTTCTTTCTTAGTCTCAGGGATTAGACCAAGAAAGAGGGTCTTTTCTTTTGCCTGCTAACTCCAGACAATCGGCACAATCACTTGTTATTCCGCTCAAGTCCCACATAGTTGGAAAACAAGGAAACTTGTGGTTCAAGGAATGTTTCAAGGAAACAAGGGCTTCATTTCCTGGGAAAAATCTATTTTTACAACGAAGCCAATGCAATCTATTCAACATATCCCACGTTCAATTTTCTGGTCAAACATGGCACAATCAATCACACTGCTAACATAGTATTTAAGAGTGTTCCTGACAAAAACAGAACCACCCTTATATCAGCAGCATGAATGGGGACTCTCTTGTGTAGGCAAAACCTAGCTTTGAAACTTGACATGAAGAGGTGACAAGGGTGCAGTGCAGTGAATTCCCACCTTTACAACATCACTGAAAATATTTTTTAAAAATTGAAAAAAAAAAAATCTTTGAAAAATCAAACATAAAAATGTCCATGAGGGGATGACATATTTAAGCTATAATGGATGATAGTTTTTTGACTGTTGTTGATGCGTGAGATTGTATTAGCTATGGATGTCAAGAACAGTCATGTGACCCAACCTTGACACATCAACTCCACTTTTGTTTTTCTTCCTTTACAGCTTTTGTTTTGCCAGCCAGAGCACCAGCTTCAAGCCAAGGCCTCTGTCAATACAGCACAAGCCAGAGTTTCCCTGCCTCCCTTTGGTGTGGAGGTAATTTATGACAAGGGGGAAATGGGCAACCACCCATATGCCACATTACACTGGCAACTCACTCAGTCATTATTGTGGGAAAGGTGTTAACAGCAGGGAAGGTCGTGTCAATGACCTCGGAGAAGGCATCTGCCATGTCGCCTGAGTGTGAAAAGAAGCTGAATATTGACCTTTAGAGGGTGTTTTCTGGTAACTGTTAGTGTGTTTCATGTTTTGTTATAATAAAAACAGCTGAAACATTGGAAATCTCCAACTTAACTGTAATTATATATATGAAAAATATAAACTGTAATATCCTTTTTTGTAATCAAAATTGGCAGAAATAAGCTGTGAATGGTTTCCTTTCTGGCAGCTAAGTATCTTTCAGGCTATGCATTTATTGTTAATAAGAAATTTATGCTTCCTTGTATTCCTATTATTTTCCTTGTCTGCAAAGCACAATGGATGAATAATGTCAGCTAAAAGAAACACATTTTTATGCCCAATGGGAACTAAAAAAACAACAAAAAAAAAATACAAATACAAAAACCCACATTCTTAATTTCTAATTAGTTCAACGTGAACTCCAAAGACTAAGCTAAAGATGCCACTGTGACATCACCAACTGTCACCAACTAATGCTGGCTAGTTAGCTTGGTTAGTAAGGTACATCTGTACTTTTATACTATCTGTGGTATAAAATGGGATTCTATCTTCATCAAAAACAGGGCTTAAATAGAAAAAAATTAGTAAAGACACAAATGAGTTATCAGAATCAAAATATCATAAATTGGTAACTTATTATTGTCACCAAGAAGGGGCAAATTAGCTCTGGAGACCAACACTGTTTTATGCTCCAAAGATATTTCAACAATTTGTAAGTCAATGGGAACTGACCCACTTTGAAGGCTGATTGAAGTGGTCAATTGAGGAGCTGCTTTTATGTCTTTCTTGAAATTGTTTTTCAGTTCCTGATGTTTGCTCATCATTTTGAGAAGTTATTTATTCTCCCATTGCTACAAACAAATATTTACATTGCTGTCAGTGTTGTAAATCTTTACTACGTTAGAGTAAGTTAGAGTCACATTTGTTTCAACTTGGTAGTGAAGACACCACCAATCTTTAAATATATATGGTAAGTATGTTAGAAAATAGGGGTGAGGAGAGTAAACTCTGAGCTAAAACTAGCTAAAATGTTAATGGTAATGATATATGACCTACTTCCTTTATATACAAGCATTCAAGAAATTTTTCCCCTTTTTGTTCATTTTCAAAATTACAAATGACAAAATAATTAGGTTTAAGTTTGAAAAGAAAACAAGTTTTATCTGTCAGTCCTTGAAGCAGTAGTTGTGCCACTGTAGTTCTTGGAGGCTGATTTGGTATGTCACAGTCCATAAATGCCAAGATGTTTTCTGTTCATGTAACCAGAAGAAATGTGGACACTTTATCACAGTCACGGTGACAAGAGGCACTCAAAACTTGGCCAGCACAGCAGGCCACTAGACAAACACTGCATATGCACTGAGGGTTTTTCTCACATCATGGACATCCTGTGACAAAGGAAAACCTAGAAAACCTTAAGTGAAGCAGAATTTAATAAAAAAACAACAACAACAACAACAAAAGTCTGGTAATTTCTTCTGCTTGACATATATAATTACATGGTTCCTCATAAAGGCTTCCCAGAATAACTTCACTGTTTTGCTGAACTTTGAGGGAATACCTCAAAGGGCTTCTTATGGACTTTCTTCAGCCATGTTTGGAGCTACTAGGACTGAGAGTACCAACCATATAAGGGAAATCTTCATATAGTCTCATAACAGAAGTTAGTCTATGTTTGATGACAGGCTGTAATTTATTATTGCAAAAACTACACTCACTGCATTTCCAAAATGCCTTTTGACACCACTAAACGGCAAAGCTGGCCTTGTTGTGTCAAGCTAAATCCTAGCACTCCAGTAACTGAATGCTATTTAAGAAATGTAAATGTGCAAGCTTTTTAAAAAAAAAAAAAAAAAAAAGCTTAGATTTTAGACTCACCATCCGTACAGATGAAGCACTTGCAGAGACACACACACAAGCACAAGAGGAGGACCGCTGCCACACCGCACACAGAGATGAGGATAAGCATGGCTGGACCCACTGTGGCACACAAACACACAAGCTCACATTTCCTCCAAAACACAGATGATGTCTAAAAGTAGGATATATATTATGTATGACATCTGGAATAAACATGTTAGGTGATGTGGTAAGACAAGAAAGGTTCTCTGTACTAAAAATAATCCTTCCCGTACTATGTGGCATTACAGGATTCGGGACCCCATCAAAGCAGCCATAATTACCCAGCACTAAAATAGCAGAGAATGCACATTTGTCAACAAAAGCTCTTGTTCCTAGTAAAGGAGCTTTTACACATTATGGCATATTATATTTGCTATAATGTGTGACAGGACAAGACATCGTTCAGGAGGTCCTCACTGTTTGTGTTGAGGGACATCATCAGGGGTTTATTCAAACCCGGGTGGTGCACGATGCACTTGATGGACAGGTCGCTGAACAGCCCAGACTGGAAGAGTAGTGTGCTCGTCACTACCGTTGTACCGTCGCCTTGTTCGTAGGCCGACGAAAATGGTGGGCCTAGGGTTCGGTTGTCACTGCCGACGTTCCATGTGATCTCCGCCGCAGGCCGGGACTTGGCCGTGCAGTTGGCCTCAGTGATCCCTGAAGGTGAGGTCACCTGGCTCACCTCTGGTTTGGGTAAAACTGTAGAGAGACAGACTGAGTTAATGGCCGCTTGAAGTTTATTTTGCAATTTTGCTTAAGTCATTTTTTCATCCTGTGTTACTCTTTTTCGGTATTCTTTTAGTTACACCACAGAAAACAAAGATTTGCTCATCTGCCTTCCTAATAAAGATGGACAAACAGAGAACATCGCCTGTCAATCTTTCTGCCCCGACAACACAGTGACACAAGTCGTCCTCCGACAGGCCTGGAAACAAAAGCCAGACAGAGAACAGAGCCAGAGCAGCTTTTACTGACTGTGTGTGTGTTTATGTGTGTGTCTGGATCTGGTGTCTGCTTCCAACAGTTCAGACAAAAGCAAAGCCTGTTAGGAAAGCAACATACGCACACACACAAACACACACTGAGGCTTTGTGTCTAGGGAAACAGTAAACCACTCATCCCCTGGGCTTGATCCCACATTAATCACCACTTTCCCCTCAGTGACACCCCTCTCTCATTATCACTCCAAAAGCACCCACACACACACCCACAGAGGAAGAACAGCAATTACTCTCACTCCTGGAACTTTTGCTCATGATCACTAGAGCTACATTTAGTCTTCTGATGTAAATCTACGTCCTAACTGACATTTTAACCCAAAACTCCTTTTTTCTCTACACCACAACCTTGCACACCATTCAAGTCAAGTTGTGGTATACACTGACCCAATGCAGTTACACTTCTCAGGAGGTGCAGGCCAGGTTACGTGGAAGCTTGCAGCATACAGTTAAAATGGGACTCCGGTTCTGGCATAAGTTACTGAGTAGATCTGATGCAAAAGTATAATTCATGTGTAAAAGTGTAATAGTGGTCTAAGCAACTCTCTCTCACTGAGGGGAAAAATAGATCAGAACAGTAGTTAATGACCCTCTCCAGTACCTCTCACCTTTGAGCTGCCTGTGGTTTGTTTATACACTGCTTTTCCTTTTCCTGAGCTATATACGGGATCCACACACACATACACTAGTACACATTTCCTCTCAGCCTTCAGTATATCCTCATTGTGGTACATGTCAAGACCCTTTTCCGAGAGGGTGAAAGATGAGGCAGAGACCATAGAAAGGCACCAGCACCAGTGTATTTAGCCCGAACTTTACAGCCACACCTTGTTTTTTTCTTCTGTGTATCATGTTCTGGGTTAAAGTTAGGGGCAGGTTTAGGGAAGAAAACTAGTTTAACTTTCTAGTATGTGACACTAACCCATACTGTATAAATGTTCCTGTAAACAAATACAGGATTGGTAATATTAATAATATGTTTTACTTTCAGAGGTCCATGTTCCACGTGGGAAATTAACAATAGCGCTACTCATTCAATGGGAATGATCAGTTTGGTCAGTTCAAGGAAGAAGCTGGTCCCATGCCATTTAAATTTTTTCCAACATATTATTTTTATTCTAAATGACACTAACAATGGGCACAGATTGATGGAAAGGATGGAAACACCTTTTCCATGTCAACACCCAGTGAAATATTTATCTGACATTTCCTGGAAACAGCTCACATTAGTCATTTCCAGATGTCCAGAAATAGCCTTATCATCATCATCATCATCATCATCATTATTATTATTATTATTATTAAGTGTTCCCATTATAAAATGAAAATTGTAGGTGTGCCTCCTAATACAACTAAAGCTAAAAGAAAATTGTTTTTTTTTAATCTGCTTTAGTTTATATTTGCTAGCAAATGCCCATGCTCCAGTATTGTTTGTACCTGTAAGCTGTTCTATGTGTCTAAACACAAAAAAGAAAAAAAAACCCACATTGCTAGATCTTTCAGGATTTGTGGGTATAATTTATATGTTAGTGCGAAATAGCAAAAGGATAATTTCACAAGGTGCTATAGATGCAACAAGGCAAAAAAAACAAAACAACAAAAACATACAATCTTAGCTTGTTGCTAGGTAGTTGCACGGCAACATGATTATGCCACAATATATGAGATAGATAAGAACAATCAGGGGTCTCAGATATACCTGTGTGACAAATTTGGTTCCTCAACTCTTAATTCTGAAGGACAAGTTGGTGGTCCAAGAAGCTAACAGACAGAGATTTTTGGTTATTTCAATGAGAAGATTGCCGTTGCTCTGTTGTGGGACCTCCCAATCGTTTTATGTGTATATATGGAAAACTGGAGGCTGGGAGAGCAGCAAGGGCCAACACATATAATAGGTACGACACTCACAGCATGAAAGTAGGCTCTGAGGGAGATATGGGTTGCAAAGTGGCTTGCAGGTGGGTAGCAGCTGTTGTCAAGCTAAGGCAACTTAAATTGGGGGCTCTATATGAGATTTACCAATAAGATGTGTAGAAGGGTGTCAGCTGACATGGCATGGTAATAAGATAAGCTACCATGACTACTTATCATGGCTACTGCCTGCCTGAAATAGCGCCTGAGCAATCATCCAGTGTATGATCCTTGCTTGTCTCAATTCGGGCGAGGAGGGTTGTAGTTTAACTTTAAAGAGTATATTCAAAGCTGGGGTTGTGGAGATTAGCCATACATAGAGGCACTGATAAAATATGGCTACTGAGTTGCTAATGACTAAATGTCATGACAACTTTGTCAGCTATATGTAATGACAGACTTTGGATAACATAGAATTCATAACCTAACAGGGAACAATTTCCAAGGACCAAATACAGTAAAAAACAAAACAAAACAACCAAGTAAACAAAAAAATAAGATCTCACCATAAACAGAGAGGCATGTGGTGGCGGCCCGGGTGCCATCTGGGTACGTGTGGAACTCACAGGTGTAGCAGGCCTCGTCCACCGTTCGGACAGCCTTTATCGTCAGCTCAGTGTGTCCCAGGGTTCGGCTAAGGCTGAGCTGACCCTTGAACTGTTCCTCTATTTTGTAATGGTTGCCTTCAGCAACGGAGCCAACAGTGGTGGTGTCACCCTGCTCGGCTGTCTTCCTCCACAAGACCTGTCGGACCCTGCCAGGGAGGCTGTACCAGCATGAAAGGGTGGTCGGCTTTCCACTTATGGCCGTCTTATTGCCATCGAAATGCACTTTTCCTGGTACACAGAAAATTCTAGTCAAATCAAGTTATTTTTATTTATACAGCAGATTTTAAAATAACAGGAGTTGCTCCAAAGTGTTTTATAGTCATCTAGTATGGAAAAGTAGCTGTCTACACTGATATTCATTAACTGCATGCAGCTTTTAGGGTAGAAGAGATGGTCTTTAAATAAGAATAATGTATGAGCACATTTAGCAGTAACAACAGGAAGCACTAAGGTTAGCAGCCTGGGTGGGCTCTCCTGCTGCTGCTGATCTGAGAGTTCAGACTTTAACCTGCTACTTCCGGTTTTACAGGATTTTGCAGCCCACAGGCAAAACAAAGCTGATACTGTGCAATGTGACTTCCACAAATAAACACAGTTGCAAAAGAGGCCTTGACTTTATCATAAAGGCACAAAAGTTCAAATGTCAGTTGGAGCTGCAACCTTGACAAATGCAGACCGAAGACTGTTGTTTTTAAGAAAACAGAATCAAGGGGATGTTATGAGAACCACCATTAAGGCTATTATTGCAGAATGAGTCTAAGGAGCTTGGAGGCTAGTGAAGAGATTTTATCTCTCAATCAAGAAGCTTCTTCAGTTCTAGGAGAACAAGTCCCACTAGGGTTTAAATACCTGAGACTCTCCACCATTTGGTTTTAGAACTGAAGAAGCTTCTCAGATGAGAGCTGAAACACCTACAAGAAACTCAAAGTTCAGTCACTTCCACAGACATGACAGAATGAGAACATTCCTAAAAACAGCTCTGAGGTTAAAGCTCATTTTAGGCATATTTGTAAGATTTACTCTCACCGATGATATTGAAGCATGCCAAGCCTTGTTGCGTGCCCTTGGGGTAAACATCAAAGATGCAGTGGTAGCAGCCGCTGTCAGCAGCCTGCACTTTCGTGAAGGTTATGTAGCTAGCATTGTGATGGGAGACAGTAAGCTGCACATTGTGGTCTTGGTGACTGATGCGGGGCGACACCGTCTGTTCGTACGCCAGAATGAGCTTGTGGTGCTTGTTGAGCCAGCGCACTTGGTGGACCATATCACCTGGCTCCGTAGTGATGTTGCAGCCGAGCAGTAAGGGATGACCTGTCTCTGCGGTCAGATTAGCGGGAGCTAAAACTTTACCTGACATAAGGCACAAACACAGAGTCAGCTCCTGTAACTCTAAAGACTTTTTCACTGGTAATTATGTGGGGAAGTAAGAGTAACACTGAATTTAAAAACAAAACCCTATTCCATTACAAAGTTGTGAGGGCTTGAAAAGAGGGCATCTGGACTTGTTTTTTTCTGGAAAAAAAAAATTATGTTTGACTAAAAGTGGTCTGATTGGCCTTTTTAATGCCCAGATAATGGAGAACCTACAATGAAGTTTACACAAAAATACAAAATTCCATCCATCTATTTTTAGATCACGTGGGGTAATACAGAGGTGTTTCCAGGCTAGCCAAGAGACATAATCTCACCAATGTGTCCTGGGTTTAAACCAACCAGATCCCTAGTTTCAAGTGTTATTTGACACATTGTGGAACTCATTTAATAAATTCTGGTCCTCCTTAGAGTAAGCTAGTAGGGTAGACTATCAATTACTGTCTTCCGTGGTGTGAGGCTACCTTATTGCTATTGTATGACAGTGCATTGTGCTCGGCTTCTGACTTGTCAGATGTGGTTAAAAAAAATAAAACAGCGATGGGTAAAAGTCCTAGAATAAAATCCACAACCAACTGGTGATGACATGATGGCTAATTCCATCTTTTATAAACAGCTTTTGATAAACACATTTGCTGCTGTGCAAAAATATTGTGCAATTATGCATCGAACTAATGAATCTAGTAAGGTATGTAGAAATAATCACATCGGCGACACAAAACAGAAGTCAAACAGGTTGGTCACAGCTGCTTCAATCTTAGATGATTAGATAATTGCATTTTTTAACTCTTAAAAATAAAAAATAATTACAGCTATAATATAGAGCAAGTGTAATATGAAGACAAACCAGGACATACGCAGTTACTTTCTTCCAGAGGCAATTCCATGCAAAACCAAGCTCACCATTCTTTCTGACTTTTGTAATCTCATGCCTACGGTTTGTAAACTAACAGTCTGCTCTGAAAACAGCCTAGGCCATTGTGAAACTTTGGTTATAGCAGCAAGTGTAATCATCATGTAAAAAAGGAGGCTATAATCATTTTGCAAAAACACAGAAAAAAAAGAAGAAACCCAAAAATTAAACACGCACACGTATCTGGAATACCTTGCGTTGTAGAGACAGCTGCTCCTACGATCCAGAGCAGCAGACGCAGCGGGATAGAGGACCCACACATCGCACACTAAAGCAGGGTAACCGACTCAAGCGCTGACCCAATCTTACATCCAGACTGCAGCTGCACACACAAACGCAGTCAGGGAGTTTGACCACAACCTTAATCGCAGCGGGGAAACCTCAAGGTTAAGCACTTTTTACAGCTTCTGGCTAAATAAACAGGACAAAGAAAAAAGGAAATAACATTCCTAAAAATCACACCCCTGTCAGCTGTCCAGTGCTCTACTTGTTGAGCCGCTGCTGGTCAGAACAGTAGATCCTGCATGTTCTTGGGAAGCTGTCAGCTGTAATGGAAAAGCCAGAGGAGGACATTAGCAAAGACGTCAGCATCATAAGAAATTAAAGTTTTTCTTTAGTATTCTTTTTTCTTTTGGACATCTGTGCATCCCACGGTTAGTTTCCTTTAAAAGTTGCTGCTATGGCGATTTGTAAGCATCAACAACAACAGCTGCTGATTCAAGGAACATCACCTGGGGTCTAATAGGGGTTTTTATATCTTAACCAACAGCATGCGCTTACTCCGGTGAGCCCATAATTATCTGGCAACGCAACACAAGCACACCTCTTACATGTCTAGACAACATCAAGCCCTGAGGTTTCGACATCGATACCTGCAACCACAAAGGAATTACAGTGGCCGGATGCTGAAGATGGAGGATGGAGGGAGCATTAGTCATTAAGGTGAGCACAGCATGCACAAGGACATGCAAAGCAGAGGGTGTGCAATCACCAGCCGAGCCCAGCAGTGAGTAAGCTGTAAACATCATACTCTGGCATAGCTCTGCTCTCATTGTTTCACAGAGACAATAGAAAGTCACCACTGTGGCTTTACTTGTGAATTGTACTGGGCTCGCATCAGCTCTCCACATCCTGGAGAAAAAGGCTTGAGGAATTTGGCACAAAGTGACTTTTGATTAAACTTGCTCTGAGTCAGGTGAAGTGGACTTACTGGTAAAGAGAAACTTGCCTAAACCACAAGACAGACCACGTCCAGACCTCACAGCTTTTACGGGCATTATTTTTGCACCATTTACACTGTCAGCCATCTGGCTTCAAACAAGCTGCCTGCTCCTGTTGGGCAACAGTTAAATCACTTTTCCACTATAAAGTCATACTGATGTCACACAGTAGGATGGGAGACTCAGTCTACAAGGCCAAACAGATGTAGGCTTTTATTGTGAAAGTCCAGCCTAATTTTCTTCACACCCAAGGCAAGTCATCAATGGAAGAGACAGTGAGGGAGCTAGAAGTTGACTGACAACAACATTTCAAGATCAACAAGTGAGGAAGTGAAACCTGGGTGCCAACCAAAATCCAGCCTCAGGAGACAGACTGAACACATCTTGAACAGATTTCTAAAAAAATAAAAATAAAACAACACACACACACACACACACACACACACACACAAAGATAATTCCCCCCACATTTAAAAACAAAGTTATCACATTTTTATTTTTCAAATAACAAAATGAATTCTCTTTTTATAAGAAAATCACTGTACTTACTATAGTATAAAATAATAGGGACAGATTAGTGCAATGCATGAAAAACGCACAGTAAATATCAGTAAGCATATCTAAGTAAATATCAATCCTTTAAAATACTTTATTCACAGGTGCAAAACAGGAAAAGTGTGATAAAGTTTGAGTTTATATTAATCCAAGTCATTTTAAGTCGATCACACAGTCATTCGCTATGAAGGTTAAGGTCAAAGTTAAAGATGCTGTGAAGAATTTGACAGCAGGTGGGTTCAATTTAAACGCTCAAAGAAACAAATGCAAAGCATGCAAGCGTTAACCTTTAAAATATTTCAGTCCTTCCGTGCTTACTTAAAACTGTTCAGAATTTACAAGGAAAAAAGAAAAATCAAATACCTGCTGACAGAGTTTAATCCGCAAAGACAAATGGGACCCGGCGTTCGCCCTGTGCGTCAGGTGAGGAGAAACAAGAAAAGTATAATCCACAGCTCGTACATTAAACCAATACTCCAGCGTGTTGTTTCCTTCTGCGTTTTTTCAGCCCATGAACTTTGCAAACAACCCTCTGAGGACGGGAAAGATGAACAAACAGAGACCCCCAGAGGCAGAACGGCGCAACTGCAGTTCAAGAAATCAGCTGCACAGGTTCAACCGTTCGTTATTAGAGCTAATCTGCCACAAAGAAGCTCATAAATAGCCTTAATTTATTTTGTTTAAAGTGTTTCTTCAAGTAGACTAAGTAGTCTTTTTTACTAAAGGGGAACATTAAAAATATTTATGAGTTATTATAAACCTTTTTTCTGTTCTTTGTTGAATTTGGATTTTAGATTATTCTGAAAAAGGTCATGACCCCAAACCTGTTTTTTGTTTTTTTAGTGGCCTAAACCTTTGTTACATTATATACATCTTTTAAATGTAACCGAAGCAGCAGTGAATATGAAGGTGAAAACAATTACATGGACAAAGTGGAAGCAGTTATTTAAAATGATTTATTTCATCAACAGAAAACTTGAAAATAAAATAAAAATCAATGTGAAAATTGTATTAACAAAAATTACAAAAAATAAACACACAAAAAAAAATACAGACACACAGCTACAAACATGCATGCAGACAATGAAATTAAATTACAAACTCTCAAAGCTTCAGAACACATTAAACACAATCAGATCTTTTGTTAAGTACTGTATGTTAAGTATACAATGATCAGCTTTCTGCTAGAAAAATACAGAAGACAGCCAATAGGTTTCAGATATAGTAAAAAACTTGAGAGCATCAGGGTTTAAATAACAATATGACAAAGGTATCTTATCCATATGTGTTTTTGATTGCGGATTGAATCACATCATATATTTTAGAGCAGCTGCAGGACAAAACAAAGGAGTCAAACCAAAGAGTTAGGTTACAATAGCAAAGGTGTTAGGTTAATTCAGATAGCATTTAAAAGACTTACCTTTTTCCTGTTTGTAAGAATAGTGACAACAGCAACAACACAAACACAGATCACTGCACCCAACACAATGATCCAAGTAAAATCTACAAGAAAACAAATGGAAATGTGACATAAAACACTTGAAAGAAATCAGGGAATATTAGCCTTAATTTAAAATCTAGAATTTTAGACATGAGGATTACAGAGTAGTGACAAACCCTAATATATATAATGACTTTGAAAAAGGTACCTTCCTTTACCATCTTACCATCATCAATATCGTCATTCCCAGCATGCACCTGTTGGACCTCAGGAATCATCAACATCATTTCTCTCTGAGGAGCAGAGAGTACTCATGCTGCACATCCCACCTGCATGCTGTTGTTACGTGAACCTGAGAGCACAGCTGTAGTAGTGACAGTGAATGTAGCGTTGGTGTTGGACACACTGACAGTGTTGTACTGTGAGAAGTTGAGGTCTTGTTGTGAGACACTGAGTGTTACAGTGGGAGCAGGTCGACCAGTGGCTGAACAGGAAACAACCTACTCTTCAGTACAGTTTGACTCTCTGACATCAACAACAGGTTCATGCAGCTCTGTGAAGGATCAGGAAATATCATCAACATGCTCTTACAAACACACCAGCTGCTTACACATTTATGTCCTCCTTGAGGCACTGGTTGTTGGTTAAAGAAGGTAAAAGTTCTCACCATAAACTTGGTGGCAGGGTTTACCAATGAAGGAGCCTTCAGGATAAGTGTTAAACAGGCAGTGATAGAAGGCTTCATCTTCATATGTCACATTCCTGATGACTATGGAGCAGTTCTGTAGTCCAATATATTTAAACTTAACTTTATCTGTGAAGCCATCATTCACTCTCTGACCAAAGTACTTGTTGTAGGTGGCAACATTTGTCTCCACATCATTTGAACTTTTCTGCCATGCAACCTGAAGGACGTCTTTAGTCTCCAAGAGCTGACAGCTCAATTCAGCATCTTCTCCCACTGCTGCCAGCACAGTCTGCTGTGTTTGTATCACTGCTGTTAGAGCTGCATGGAGGAAATGAACAGTAAGAAGTGCATGCAACAAACTTAAACTGAGTGAAAGAAACAGATGCCCCCTCCCTCAGCTTTTCTTTTCTTTTCAAAGATTGATAGACAAAAGCAAACACGTTTCACCTGTTGTACCTCTAATGTGAACATCAGTTACTCCTGAACCTGCTTCTTACCTGCTGGAAGGACTCCGTAGACAAAAAGCAGATATACAAGCACATCCTGTCGCATCATTGCTGCAAGTAGCTGAACTGCAGATTCCTGAGTGCGAAAAAAAAAACCAAAAATGGAAAAGTTACTCCCACGCTCAAAGCCAACGCAGAAAAAGCACTTAAAATCACTACAAGCAACAAAACGTCCTGCTTTTTACTTACTTTTGCAAAGCTAGTTTGGCTTCCTGAGAATAAAATGTAGGGTGTCACACCACAAAAGAAGTGACGAGCAACTTTATGGTATACCTCTGCCTGTTTCACACTGTTTAAAAAAACATACTACATACAACAAGCATACAAATTGCCCACTTTTTTTTTTTTTAAACAAAATGCATTAAGTTACACCACCTCTAAATATTCATCCCTGAAGATTTAACATCCCAAACGTACCGAACTATATGAGCTTGCACCAAACAAGACTGTGTGTGAGACCTGACTTGCACAGCAGACTTTGTTGAGAAAATGACATGCATTCATTACTGTGCAGCTTCTGGTTCCCATCAGTTAAATGCAGAATGGTCTGATGCTGTTTCCCTTCTGTTTAGTTTCAGTCTCTGATGTCTACAAAACTCTCAACTCTACTCCGGGAAACCTGAAGAAACAGAGACCTCCAGTGGCCAAGCTGAGCACCTGCTGCTGAAAGAAATAGCAGAAGAAATTCACGCATTGTTTGCATTGTGGAATAATTCCTCAGCATATCTAATTTGCCACAAAGAAAATCAGTCATATTTTTGTGGGATTAAATATAATAACAAAACAAAGCAGTGTTTAGTGTTTTTATGAAATAAATTACATGAAATGATTTATCTTATAATGTCTCCTGAATGCTGCCAGCACAGTCTGTTGTGTTTATATAAATGTGTCACCTGTTGAACCTTTAACAGGGAAAAATGAACCAGTCAGCAGCAAACAGAAACACTGGCTACAGTAGCATCCGCTTCTTATGTTTTGGAAGGACTCACACACAAAAAGCAAGTATACAAGAATGCAACGTACCATCATCGTCGCAAGTGACACTGTTTTAGTTGAGCTGCAGACTTTTATGGGTATAAAACAATGAAGAAGTTTATAGTGAAAAAATATATGCAAACTCAGTGCAGACATACCACACAATCACAGACAAGTCTAAAAAACAACCCTGAAGAAAAAAAAGTTGCTTTTCTTTCTGTTTTTGTATCCCCAGGAAGTGAAAAGCAAGAGAAACATTTATATTTTTGCCATTTCCCAGTAATCTGTATCAGATCCCCAAGTAAAGATCATCGAAACAACCTGAGCAATCACACATGATGATATTTTAACAGGAAAGAAAAAACCTTACATAAACTATTTATCCAGTTATTCATGATGAAATGTGTTCATGTAGAATAAAATGCAACTTTTAATTATGGGAGACGTTAATGAACAGAGAATTGTGTCAGTGAATGCCATCAGGGGTTTGTCAGCGATATTATTCTGATGTACCTTTGTCCCACCTGATTACCTTCATTAAAAAGCAGCAGGATAGATGGTGGGTCTGCAGAATGACGCACGACATGCAGAATCTTTTATGTTCCTCATTTTGTGTCATTTTTATTTTTTATAATATTTTTTTAAACATTGAATAATAATATTGTCTTATTAAATTATAATTTAAAGTGCTTCAAAAACTGCGAGCCACACAATAAAACACAACAAACTTGCATGTCCTTACAAAAAAATTCAAGATTAAACAGGTTTATTGTCACTGTGTTATGGCAAAGTTACAGCTATGGTGTGTTGGAGTGTGAGATTCAAAACAAGACAGAGGTAAGTACAAATTCTTTATTAAAAGTATAAAAGATAACAACATGAAAAATATTTTCACTACAGTCATGCATAAAACAGTTCCTCCTGTTCGAGGTCAACATAGCAGATCATCTCCCTCCAGCTCCGTCTATTCCCAGCATCCTCCTCTGTCACACCAACACTCTGCAAGTCCTCCTGATGGCTGATCCCAGTTCTGTACTCCTCACATGCTCACCTTTCCACCTGTCTCTCTCTCTCATTCACACACATGTATTTTGTCTTGCTTCTACTTTCTTTTATTCCTCTTCTCTACAATGCATGCCTCCACTGCTCCAGGCTCTTCATCTGCTCCCTACTGTCACTACAGATCAAAGTGTCACCTGCAAACATCATAGTTCACATAGACGTCTGCCTCATCTCATCAGTCAGCCACATCACCATTGCAAACAAGAAGGAGCTCAGAGCTGATCACTGATGTAATCTCATTTCCTGAACCTACCTGTCACTAAAACCTTCGCCTCAGCACTGCCTCACATCCTTATGTCTTATGACCTGGCCCATCCTCACATACTTCTCTAGATCCTCTAGATCCAAAAATACCCAGTGAAACTCATTCTGACCTTCTATATTCTTCTCTATCAACACTCTCAAAGCAAACATCACATCTGTATTCCTCTTTCTCAGAATAAAGTCATACTCCTTACTGATCATCACTTCTCTTCTTAACTAGCTTCAACAACTCTTCCCCATATCTTCATGGTGTGGCTCATCAGCTTTATTCCTCTGTAGTGACTACAGCTCTGCACATCACCCTTGTTCTTGAAAACTGATACCAGTACACTTCTTTTCCGCTCCTTAGGCATCCTCAGTCTGGCTAAAAAGTCCTCCGCTGTCTGTCCTAGACACTTCCATACCTGCGGTTGATCCTGGTGAAAGGCATGTCACCAGGATCAACGGCCTTCCACTCTTCGTCTTCATCATATGCCCTCACTTCCTCTTTACTAATTCTCTCCACTCTCTGATTCACTAACACTCTGATTCACTCTACCTTGCTTTGCCATTTGCTTCATTCATTATATCCTAACAGTATTCCTTGTTACTCAACAGTTTTCGCTGTAGTTAATCTCTATAGTTAACCACGCTAACCAGCTGCACATCCTTCCCAGCTCAATCTCTCTCTGTCACTTTTTTTTTTAAATTTTATCTTCAAGTAGTCTCAACTTTATTAATGTAGTACTGTAACTCTGTTCCAGGCATACTGAAAAAAGCACTTAAAGAACTCACTTTTAAAATATTACTCTGCCATGCTTTTACTCTTACTTAAACTCAAACTATGTCCACACACACTGATGTTTTTTAGGAATTTTGTTTGCATGTTTACGCGATAAATGGGCCGGCAGGAGTTTTATGAAAAGCTCCTATTTTACTGATACCAAAACACTATTTACGTTCGGACAAAAGGCCAAAGCTACGTTCACCAAAATGTACCTGTGACCGTAACCTCACACCGCCACTTTTTCTGCAGCTCTTTTGTTTCTTTCAGTCTGTGGTATGTGTGTAGCCTCTTCATATTTTTGAGGTGGATTTAAACTGTTTCCAACACTATCCCTTTCATGTGAACGTGTAGGGGAAACCCTTGATTAGCTAAGCAAGTTCATGACCAGCTTTGTGTTGCTGTCTATCCTGATCATGGATGTTAAGCAAAATGGATCCAGATAACTGAAAGATATCCTGGGTATGTTAAACTAGCTTCACAGTACAGGGCCCTTGGCAGCTCATAGTCACTGAGTCAACCACAAACTCCTTTGTATACTGAATTATTTTAGCACCATGAATACAAAGTAGAATATTAGTGAAGTGGAAATCATTTTACCATCATTTTCACCATCATCAGTCCTCTGCCAAATTATTTTAATCTTTCTACAGCTTTAGACAGAGCAGAGGATGGGATATAGAATATATGTCAGGTACATCTTTTAAAAATAATTTTACCAGAAGTTACACATGTTCACATTCCAACTTTGTGTTACTCTGAGGCATGTATTTATGTCTACGTCTGAGTTACAGCTGATGGTTTTAGGTGATCCTTGTTGCACTGTATTTAACTGCTGTTAGACTGTATTCAGTTTAACAGTAAAAAAATGCCATGCATTTAAAGTGTGCATGTAACTCACATGGTATAACGGCAAGGTATAAAATATTATATTTTAGATATTTTATTGCTATAAAAAATGTATTTCATTTTAGCAACATAATGCAGAACATTTTAGACAGCAGCAACAAAAGATTGGTATTTTTTTTGAAGTGCTTAAAACAAGATAAACATTTTACAATGAGCTGTATAAAACGTATGTAAAGAGCCTTAGATGGAAGCTGAGTTTTAGAGAAGTAAAAATGTGGAGGGGTCATCAGTCTGTGAAAGAAACATTTTGGGGGTTCAGTCAACTAAAGATTCAGCGAATCTAGAGATTCTACACACACTGAATCCATACATGCAAATTTAAACCCAGAAAACATCTCCCAATATTGGTGTCTATGTGGTGCAGATTTAATAAACCGAGGGAGGAAAATTAATACTTACACAAAGACACATCGATTTATCTTCCAAAGAATTATTAAATAAACATGTAGAAAATGGATATTTATCAAACTGTCTTACCATTAATGTCATTGGCTGATTTTTGTGGTATTTTATTTGTTGTTCTCAGAGTCCCTGAGTGACAGAAGGATTTCAAACTTTTAAATAATAAATATTTGCAGATATTAGACAGGTGTCAGTGTAGGTCACATATAAGAGTCATAAAGCATTCTGTTTTAATAGGAAGAGACACATTAAAATAGGACATAAAACAAGTCAAGAGTGAAAGTTACCTCTTCTTGTCTTTTTTTTAAGCAGGACAGCTATGAAAGTGGCTACACAAGCAAAGACTATCTGTCCCACTGTTACACCTGATGCAATGATCCAGAAGGAAACTGTGAGAAAAGCAGGAAAAATTTGACACTGATTAACACTGACACATCAATCATGGATCACAGTGAAACGTAGACCTACTGAAGTCATTGTTATTAGCTCCAAATTGACTCAGATAGCATCACTCTATAAATCTGTGACTTTGAAAGAGTTTCTCACCATTATAATCAGCAGTAGCAGCAGCATACACCTGCTGGACCTCAGGAACCGTCACCATCATCTCTCTGTGAGGAGCAGAGAGCACTCGTGCTGCACATCCCACCTGTGTGCTCTGTTTACGTGAACCTGAGAGCACAGCTGTAGTAGTGACAGTGAATGTAGCGTTGGTGTTGGACACATTGACAGTGTTGTACTGTGAGAAGTTGAGGTCTTGTTGTGAGACACTGAGTGTTATAGTGGGAGCAGGTCGACCAGTGGCTGAACAAGATACAACCCACTCTTCAGTAGAGTTTGACTCTCTGACATCAACAACAGGTTCGTGTAGCTCTGTGAAGGATCAACAAACACTTTAAGAAAAATGATTTTAAAATGAGATCAACATCTGACCAAATTTCATCTGTTATCTTTTTTGCTGGAGCCTATTGTAATTTGAAGAAGGTAAAAGTTCTTACCATAGACTTGGAGGCAGGGTCTACCAATAAAGGCTCCTTCAGGATAAGTGTTAAACAGACAGCGATAGCATCCTTCATCCTGCTCCGTCACATTCCTGATGACTATGGAACAGTTCCATAGACCAGCATGTTTAAACGTAACTTTATCTGTAAAGCCGTCATTCACTCTCTGGCCAAAGTACTTGTTGTAGGTGGCAACATTTGCCTCCACATCATTTGAACTTTTCTGCCATGTGACCTGAAGGACGTCTTTAGTTTCCAAGAGCTGACAGCTCAATTCAGCATCTTCTCCCACTGCTGCCAGCACAGTCTGCTGTGTTTGGATCACTGCTGCTGCACCTTTAACAGAGAAAAATGAATCAGTCATCAGCAAACAGAAACACTGGCTACTGAAGCATCTGTTCCTTACCTGTTTGAAAGACTCCACACACAAAAAGTAGATACACAAGCACACAATCTGCCATCGCTATTGCAAAGTAACAAGTTTGAGATGAATAGGAGACCTTTTTGGATATCAAAAGATGTAAAAGGTTGGTAGTAAGTGAATAAATGCACACTGAAACTACACAGAAATCAGGGCAGACATACCGCACACTCACAGTTGAGTTAAAAAGTAACTGAACGAAAACAATTGACTTCTCCTTCAATTCTTTTTTTTAACACAAGGAAGGGATCTGCATCAGATCACTTCCTTGTGCTTTCTCAGTAGTCTGTATCAGATCCTCAGCAAGTTTACAAAAAACATCCTTTTTAACAGGAATGCCAGAAAGCAAAAATATTACCTCAAACAAATTATCCCATCAGTTATGACCTGGTCGTGACCTGATGTCACACACACATGACCGTGGTTTTGCTGTTTGTCACATTATTAAAGTCAGCATTATGTACTGTAATATGCAGACATTAATCTGAGACTCTTTGGATCATTCTGAGTCTCATTAATTATTGCATTAAAACAGATATTTCAATGTTGTATATCAGATATCTGAGAACGAAGAAAACCAACTATGTGTTTGTGGTGTCGCAGAGCTGTATGACTGCACTTGTGTTCATTATGGGTCTGTTTCTATAATTTTGTTTCTAACGTGAATATTTGCACAGACTGACAAACTTCATGTTTCATTCAGTTTATGCAGATTCAATTTATCTTTGATTAAGAATAAAGATGTTTTACTATTATAGAATACGAATAAGCTCTGTTATAGCACTCTGTATCATTTTAAACATAAAAGGCTGGATGTTAAAACCTTTGACCCTCTCTTAGGTGTATGTGTTTTTAACCACAGCTTTTTAATCAACTTTATTAAACAGCGGTAGAAATGTGACCATGTGCCATCACTGTTGCAAATGGTCAAGTTTTAGTTAAAGTGCTCTGGGCATAACACTCAGAGATAAACAAAGTAAATATAGACACAGACTACACAAGAAACACTAAGCTTTAACACCCACAGGCAAGTGTGGGTGTTTCTTCCCTTTTCATGCTTCTTCTCCTAATAATTAGAGTTACTTTTGCATCAAGTTCCCATTAGTCTAATGCAGAGGAGGCCTCTGGTTGTAGGGTATTTTTATTTAAAGTGTCACGGTTCTGGGTCTTTTGACCCAGCGGTTTGTGTTTCTTACTATTATTATGATCTTGCGTTCTAGCTTATTCTTATTACTTGGGGTTTAGACTTTTTAGTTCCAAGGGTTTTGATTCTGTGCTCCCTCTGTTTAGTGTCTGCCCGTGTGTTCCCTCTGTTCTGTCTGTATCGCGTCTCTGAGTCCAGTCTGTGTATTTCCTGTTTTTCTTTGAAGGTCCATATCTTATTTCAGTATTTTTAGTTTCGGTTGCTCTGTCTTGTTAGGTCTAATTTCTCCCGACTGTGTTCCCACCCGTTCCTCATGTTCCTGCCTGTGTATTTATAGTGTGTGTCCTCCAGTGTTCAGCGTCACGCTGTACCCTCATCTTATCCTGTGTGTTCTGTTTGCCTGCCTTTGTAAGGTTATTTTTGTATTTTCAGTCTGTTACTTTTGAGTTCAGCATTAAAGCTGTTTTGACTTCACGTTTTGCCTCTATGAGTCCTGCGTTTGGGTCCTCCATACTGCCTGCCTGCACACAGCCTTGACATAAAGAGCCAACGTGATGCCTATTAGCTTCGGTAACTCTACCATTATATCACTGTATCAGGTGAGAAAACATCCACCATCTCCACATAACTATGAAGCAGCATAGTTATCCTCTAAAGTCTCTGTTTACTTTGTTCCAAAACAATCATCTTAACCAGAGACGACATCAGGACTTGTTCAGTAATTGAACAACAACAGCACAAGTTCAGATTCTAATTTAGATTTTATGTCCACTGCAGTTTAATCTGCTATCATTTAGTTAATATGAAAACAATGTTAGTGTTAGATGTTCAAGTCTGTAGTCGGCTTCATGTTCGAGTTAATCCTGTAATATAGGCTAATATAACTGACAGGGGATTTCTAAAAATCACCCTGCAGTTCTTCAGCTGAGACACCTGAGTTAGAAAACACAAACACTGCAGTTGTCTTTTACTCGCGAGGACGATCACAGAGCGCTCTTCCTTGCAGGAGGCACTCACGGACTCGCGCTGTATCACTGTCTGCGTTCTTTATTTGCGAGGACGGAGCGCTGGAGTGTAACATTCTAAACAAAACAGACAAATATAAAAAAAAATCTAGTATTAAAGTATAAAGTGTCAGAAATATCAGCATTATAAAAATAAAAATTAACAATTGAAATCTGGAAGAGTGGCTAAAGCTCAGCCCCAACCAGGTCATGTTTAGGCACAGCGAGCCTTAACAGATCTCCAAGCAAATGTCTAAAAAATAAAGGACTCGGGGTGTTGCAATGACCCAAAGTCAAGAGCTCAAACTGACTCAAATGCTGTAGTGGGATCTTCAGAGAGCTGTGCAAAAGTTCTGTCACTCACAGTAAAACATCATTCCTTTAGCTTATGTGCGTTTAGATTCTGTGTTTGGTGCATTTGTTAAGATCAACTCACTTGGCAGAAAGTTCATATTAAACAGTTTTGCTGTGAGGTGTGTGTTCACCACAGCGTGTTGCTTACATCTTCTTGCAGGGGATGGTTTTAGTTGATCGTTTGTTGGATTGTTGTAATTTGGTGTTTGTTCACCTTGCTGTTATTCTTCTTCAAATGTGCTCTGATTGTTCAGATAAAAAAATAAATAAAACCAAATATATTTAAAATGTACACTAACTAAACTGAACTTATGGAGCCCCGCAGGGGACATGGGAGAAAAAAAAATTAAGACGGACTTTTGCGAGATCTCGCAAAACAAATTCACCTCCAAATCAGTACTGAAACCTTAGAAACAACCGCAGCGATGGAGGACACATACCCATTTGAGCGATTCATAGATTTTTACTTTGAGCTTGGACTAAACTATAAAGACATTAAAACTGTGCTTTGCAGTAGACACAGTTTTCATATAAGCGAAAGACAAGAGAGAAGAAGAGTTCTTAGCGCAAGGGGACACACTCGCCACAAAGCGTACTCTGACCTGGCCGTCTTGGTTGAATTTATAGACAACCAATTGCAGTACTCTGGGCAGCTTCGCGGATACCAATGGATGTACGCTAAATTCAGGGAACATGGACTACGCTTGAGAAAAGAGGATGTGCGCTTGGTTTTGAAGGAGCTGGATCCCCGAGGTGTTGCACTGAGGCAAGCAAGACGTTTCAGGCGAAGGAACTATTTTTCAAAAGGGCCGAATTTCATCTGGCACATGGACTCCTACGACAAACTGAAGCCATATGGCATCTGTATCAATGGTAGTATTGACGGTTTCTCGAGAAAAATAATCTGGCTTAATGCGTACACAACAGATAGTAATCCGAAAGTAAGAGAGATAAAGGAAACTGAGGAAGTGATAGAGAGGTAATACACGAAGTACTGTGAGAGATGAGACCTGTGCCAGGTTTAGGAAATGGAGAGACTTGCAGGAAGAAAGAGACGAGACAGGGAGAAGCGGTTGAGAGGAGCAGGGAGTAAATGAAATGAAAAATTGTGTAAATACTATAATTTAGGCTTAAGCAATCGGCCGCCTTAAGGAAGAGCTCAACAACCAAGACTACAGTAACATCTATGTTGAAGATGTTGACATGGCATATGAAAATTTCTTATCAATAATATTAACTATTTACAATTTGGAATTATTTAGATTGGAATATCCAAATAACTTAGTAATACAAAATACAATGATCAGTGACATAAAACAAATTGATTATTATGAATGGAGTAGATGAGCCAAGCAGGTAGTAATAAGACCAATAGTACTAATGTAAGATATCACAGCATAACAGTAACCGTAGTTAGTGTGTGAAACACTTGTACAGATGACATTAGGTAAAGCACATGATTACAAAAATTCACATGATTGTTTAAAAATAATAAATTGCATAAATATAAGAAACTTTCGTCTCAGTGAGTGAGTTGTCTCATTGTGATCTGCGTATATGTATATTATATGTACATGCGATCCCATTTCTTAAATTTCTGTATTCTTTTTAACAGGATGAGCTGGATGACACTGAACAGGTTTGGAATACACACTCCATCAGACCATCAACAAACATCAATATCCCCAGTGGTCGACCTAATGTAATGTATACATTGCCTGAGCTCTACGGGACAAGAGACTTCTATTGCCCCACTGAAGAAGAACATGTTGAAATGTGTAAAACTGAGTGTGTTTTTCGACTGACCAAACCATGTGACCCCGATGTATATGAACTGTGCTATATCATCATGACTGAGTCCCATCTGACTCCACCAACAGACCCATATCAGGCTGTGAACTTGTACATGCATTTAAGATAGAACATCATGGCATTAGTGTAAATTGCATACACTGCAGCGAGAACATTTCTCAAAATTGACCTGTGCTATATGTGAGAAAGCTAACTTCTGGATATTGTAAGCTTTCTAGTACACAGTCATTTATGAGAATATCTTATATAGAAATATTTATTGTTGTGTTCCAGGAGGGTCAGTGAACTAAAGTATAAAGGGGAGTCTCTGCCTGTTAATGATATTCTGAGTGTTCTTTAGCACAAAAACATTGTAATGTTCTGTCAAATGTTATCAAGTTTTATGTCTATGTGTATTACTTCGAATTACTTTAACTGTCTATTTGGCTTGATACATGGATCAAAACATAAGACACGTCTTAATTTAATGTGTTAGGAGTTTTAATGTACAGTGTTTACTCAGATAATGGTGGTTTATGTTGAGTATTTTGTAATAATTTTTAAATGGTGAGTTGGTATTTATTTACACCATCTCTATTTGTTAATGATGGGAATGTTTAGTT